TTAATTCAAATCCAATAATTAATATAAGCCCTATTAATTCAATATTATCAATCCAATAATGTAATGATTTAAAAAAAATTGCGTGTAGTTGGCTTTTCAAAATTCTAAATTTAGAATCAAATGTAGAAGTAATGTTTTCAATCATATTATTGGATAATAATAGTTTAATGTGTATTTTTCCGATACTTTATAATTAAATAGCAATAATTTGGCTGGGTAATTTTAATTTTTTAATCATAAAAATAGTGGATTAATCACTATATGGTTTTGAGTATTAATTAGGAGAGGAAGACACCTTTTTGATAAGAGTAAATAACATTTAAAGAAAATTTGAGGTAGAATAGGTGGATGAATTAAAATATATAAAAAGAGAAGGAAATTTGAGTCTAATAAATTGTTAAATTGCTGATGTTTACTTTTATGTTGAAAATGGTTAATTTGGTTAAATTACAGGTTTGGATAATGTTATTGACTTCATTTTTATAGAAAATACGGAAGAACATTATCTATTGCTTCATTAAATCAAATCAACTTTTAATTTTATTATTTCGATTCGTATATTTAGATTTAAAGAATAATCAATTATTTCCTAAGTAAATGTCACATTACCACTCTTAGAAGAAGTGAAAAAAGTACTTGATAATGAATTTACTTTTGAAATTAATTAAATTTTTCTACAAATGTAATTGGTTTCTTGTAAAAAGAGCAATGAATTGATTATTATTAAAGTATTGATCATGTTACAATTTCGCGCACTACTAATCAATATAGAAATAAATAATGAATAAATAAATGGAGTTTACTTATAAACTTAGATACGATATCCGTTTCAAAATTATAACGGAACTAGTGCTTTAGTGGATGAAAACATTTTAGTACTTAGCCATTTTCATAATCTTTATCATTTTTATTATGACTTAAAAAATGATAACGAATTTTAAGATTACGTTTATACAACAGAGGGTCTTGCTATTTAAAAACTCAATACTACTCATTATATTATTTTTTAAAATAACAATATTAGTATTGGAACGTTTGGTTATAGGATTATTTTAGATTCTGATTAGGATCTGACTCAAGGATTAACTTTGTTCGCTAAAAACCAAGTATCAACAGCGGAAGTCAAATTAATTCTGATAAACAAATTTCGCTTAACTATTTTTGTATAATTACTCAACCTGTTTCTTATACAATTTTATATTAGGATAAATTATAAATAGAAAAAATCAAAACAATGAATAATATTTCTTAACGAATATTTTATATTATTTAAATACAATTTATAAGACTTTGAATAAGCATAATATTTCAGAAGTGAACAAACGGATGAATTATTTAACCTGATTTCAAAAATCCTTGTTTTAATTTGAAATTATAAGGGTATGAATTGCTTTCTATTTCAAATAAAAAGTTATGAATTAATCAGAAGTAACAAACTACTTAACATAAATGGCTAAAATATTTGAGAGATTTAAATTATTGTCTATGACTTTAGATGAATTTGAAGAAAAGTATATGAAGAATCCAAATGAAAATAATGAGGGAGAGAAAGAAGTAAAAGAAATCAAAAAGGGGTTAAAACAATAAATGGATTAATTAGAAGGAGTGAAAACATAGACACCAAAGATTAAATTTGATTCAACCAATAGAACATATTCGTGTTCTGAATGTTCTAAACAATGCAACTCAAAATCAGCTATGTTAAATCATCAATATTTTAAACATAATAGACCAAAAAAGTCAGCTATTGGCAAGTCTACCAAATAATAAAACTAAGAAATAGATGTCGATGATAGGATGGATGATTTGATTATTTTATAATGATTATAATGAATAATTATTAATTTCTGAAGGGAATAACAAAAATAATCCCAATGTGATTATTAATTATTTAAATTTATTAGAAATGCCTCTAGAAGCGGCGGTAGTAGTTTTGGATAACTCAGAATTCTCTAGAAATGGAGATTTAGAGCCATCTAGATGGAATGCTTAACAAGAAGCCATTGAATTATATATTAATGTAGTTATAGATTCAAACATGGAAAGTGGAATGGGATTGATTTTAGGAGGAGGCAAACAAGTTAGATTGTTAATGACTCCTACAAACGATAGAGATTTAATTTAAGGGTAATTCCATAAAACAAGATTAGAAGGTAAGCAAGTCAAATTAATAAATAGGCAATTTACAGTTTTCGGTTGCACTTCAACAGGCATCATTGGCTTTGAAACATAGAATCAATAAGTAACAGCATCAACGTATTGTGGCATTTGTTGCTAGTCCAATTGAAGAAGAAGCAGATACTTTAGTAAAGTATAATTTAATTTAAATAATGTTAGCCTTGCAAAGAGGTTAAAGAAAAATAATATAGCAATTGATTTAATCAATTTCGGAGAGTAGAATGAAGAGCATCTTAAGAAATTGAAAATTTTCTTTGAAAATGTTTAGAAAGGATCAACTTCAAAATTCATAAACATCTATCCAGGAATGAGTGCGACAGAAACACTCTTTTCATCTTTAGGAAATTAATCGGATTTTTAAGCTGAGTCAGGATAATAATAAGAGTAAGTCCCATAATAACGAACAGGCGGACAATTCTCTGAATATGGAGGAATTGATCCAAATATAGATCCAGAGATGGCAATGATAATGAAAATGAGTCTTGAAGAAGAAGCATAAAGATTATAATAATAATTAACCTAATAAATATAATAGCCTTAATAATAATAATAACAATAATAATAGCCTTAATAATAACAATAAATATAAGAAGAAAAAGTAGAAAATGTTATAGAAGAAGAGAATGATGAATTATTAGAATAAGCTAGATTATTGAGTATAATAGAAGAACCACAATAACCATAATAATAAAATTAACCTGCATAAGAGCAATAAAAATAAGACACATAAAAGTAATTAGTTTTTCTCACTTAGTCAATTATTTTAAGACCAAAACTTCCTTGATGAATTATTAGATGATGTAAATAAGGAAGAAGAACAAGAAAGCCTTCTCAAAAAAGATGATGACAAATCCAAAAAAGATTGATATAATATATAATATAATATTAACAACTATTATAAATAATATAATTTTATGGACTATCACATAGAGACAATTAAACAATTACAGTAAACAATTTAATTAGCTTCTGATGAAAATAAAGAACTGAGTAAAAAATTGTTGTCATTATAATTAAAATATGATCCTGAATCTGATATCAAGATAAAAAATTTAGAAAAAACTGTCCTGCTTTAACAACTGGATTTAGCATAGCTCAAACAAGAAAAAATTAAAAACAGTAGGGTTTAAGATAAAGATGCTAAAGAAGAAAATTAAATTTAATAATTAAATGAATAGATAAATCAAAAATAGGATGATTTACGAAAAATAGAGGATCTCATGTACTAGGTCGAAGTTTAAATCAGAAATGCAAACTAAGATGTATAAGAATTGAAATTAATCTTGAAAGATAAACAGAACGAACATATCTCAATTAATAAGAAAATCGAATAATTGGAAAAGTTGATACCCAAGATTAGTGGACAAGATGGCCTATCAATGTCATACATTAATGAAATAGATATACTAAATGATAAATTGCAAAACTTAGAAAAAGTCTCAAATATTTAATCAAGACTAACATACTAGTGTAATTGCAAGAAAGATTGATCTTACAAATTATTTTATATTATATGATTAATAATGGAATTTTTAGACCAAAGAGATTACCCACAGCAACAAGAAGAGTAAAATTATCTTCAAAACCAAGTATAGATTCATTAATGCTTAACAACATTAACAAATAAAGTGTAATTTGCGATTCCCAATTCTTCACAACTTCAAGAAAAACTACTCGCCCTTAAACTGCACTTTAATTGCCTTCTAAAGATGCATTGTTTGAGTAGCCATTATTTTCAAATGATGAAGAAATCAAGGAGTCTAAAAATAAGGATGTATATTATCACACAAAAATGAAATTATTTGCAAAAAAGTATTCGACTACAATGCCAACCCACATGAGTACATAATAATCAATTATAAAATCCTAACCACTAATTCAATCTGCGACAAAAAGAACTTCAAAAACCAATAATTCAGTTACTAAACTTGTGGTAAAATAATAATCAATAGAAGTGGTAAATTAATAATAAATACTCAAACCTACTACTATGAATATCAATTAACTGTTCTCTTAAATTTAATAGATAAGACAAGAACCTCAGTTTGTGTAATGCAATTTAGATAATGTTAAAACAACTACAAAAATATTGTAAATAAATCCTGAGGAAGTCAAGGCACTGTATGAAGAATTAGCTCATTTAGATGTCAAATTTATGAAAATGACTGCTGACACTGAAGTTTTCATACATAATCTCTATGCTGATAAAAACAAGTTCTTGAAAATTAAGGATAATGTAATAACCGAGCATTAATTAATATTTCTAACTGAATAACTAAGGATTAAAAGAGAATTGATAGAATAAGGTTAACCTTTTGATAGTATCAATTTTGATGAGATCGACAAAATCGTCTAGAGGCTCATTTTTTTTGAACGATTTACTAAATCGACAAGGATTAATCTTGTTAAATTAGGTTAGTATATAGAAGTCCCTCCTGGAGAGTATGTATTTCATTAAGGAGATTTTGGAGATAATTTGTTTGTAATTTTATCTGGAAGTGTTGATGTGAAAATAGAAAAGAAATTTACTCAAGATGGGCCGGTAATTGAATAGGTTGTTTCATCTCTCTATGATGGCTAACATTTCGGAGAATTGGCTATGATGGAAACTACATAAAAGGGCTAAGAGGAAGTTCTCGAAGAAAAATTAGAAAATATCAATGTAAGATCCCTTAAAGAAGTTAAGGAGCAACTCATTAAAAAATAACTTCAAGATTTAGGATAGCAAGATGAAGCTTTATAAAAATAAAAAATTAAAGAATTACAAAGGCAAAACACAAATATAATTAATTTGGTTAAGGAAGATACAGTGAAAGAAAAACATTATATAATGAATTTAGCGAATGATGACGATGAAATAGTCTAATCGTCTGGCTTGTCAAAATAAAACAATATTTAGTATAAGAAAGTAGATAAAGCCTAATAACGAAAAGCATCAATATAAGCCAGCGAAACTTGTCATTTGCTGGCTATTAGCAGAGAAAATTTCAAAAATATCCTTATGGTCTTGATGCAGGATGAATTAGAGTAGAAAATTAAAATGCTTAAATCTTTGAGGTTCTTTAAACAAATTCAACCATTTGTGTTAATACCACTAGCAAATTAGTTAATACCCTAAAGATTTCATCTTGATGAAGTATTAGTCAGGGAAGGAGATCTCCTTGAATATATGTTCATTTTATATAAGGGATCTTGCAATGTTATTAGAACTATAAATACAGAAAGAATTAAAATACCATAACATCTTCGAAGAAAGTTGAACAGAAAATCGTACAGATATTATTAAGAACATCCAATAACAATAACTCATAATACTCCTGAAGATTATTTGACTTGCTTAACATAAGAAGAAGATGATACCCATAAAATCCCAGATTATGCTGTCTGTAATAGCAATAATGGATACATCTAATATAAAAAGAGTTACATTTATAAAAAGTTGTTTCCAGGAGATATTATTTTTGGGAGAGTTTTGACAGGATTAAGGCTTGAAGGTGATAGAGGTATTGACAGAGCTAGAATGACTATTGTTAGTTCATCTAGCACTACGATTGTCTATAAGATTAGTCTAAAGCTCATATAATTTTGTCCAGAATTTTTAATTGAACACCTTACTAATCAACTCTTAATTTACAAAGAAGTTGATCTCCTTGAATAGTCAGAATTAAATTAAGAAATCAAGTAAATCTATTCCAAAAATTAAAAAATAGCGAAGGATTAAGCCTAATTACTTTCAGAAATAGAGGAAAAATAAAGAAAAATAGATTTGTAAGAATATTATAAGAGAAATAAATTAAGAAAGCCTTAAAATGAGAAAAAATAGGATTAAAGAAATTCAGAATGGGAATAATTTAAAGAAAAAGTTGTGATTCAACAATTACTGTATAATAAAGTCTCAAACTGATAAACTAATTATATGAATTATAGTACTTAAAATTTAATATAACCAATATTATATTAGTCTAAATATCCGAGTTTGTCAATCTATAATAATATTAAAACAAAATGCATACTTCATAATCAATATTTTGTATAAAAAATTATCAACTAAATGTTTTACTTCGAAATTAAATAATACTGTTATTAAATGTTAAATTCTTATTATAAACGTAATAGAATATAAAAAGAAATATAGTAAATTAAAGAATACAAATATAATAATAACATAATATCAAACTCATTAAATATATTACAAACCACCAATAGAATCTTTAAAAAATTTAATATTTATTTAATTGTTATTAATAAGACTATTAAATATTAAATAGATGAATACTTTATAAAGAAAAAAATTATTAAAGCATGAAATACATTTTCCTTATAAGGATGAATTTTACATTAATAAATTAATGATTAATAAACCAATAAATTATATTATTTGAGTATTTTTACATTAATCGAAGATAATTATTTATTATGTGTAATAGTTAATATGTCATATAATTCAATGTTTAAATACAACAAGACTACCAGACACAATTATAATTATTTTAATTATTTATAATAATTATGAAGGGATTCTATAATTAAATATGTATTTGTTTTTATCTGGGTAGAATAATAATATTAGAAATATTGTTAGATGATTCAATGAATTTGTTTATGTTGAGTAATTAATATTTTGTAAATATTTGTTAAATTATCTATAATTTTATTTGTATATCTTATTGTTATTGTTTTTTTAATATTTCAAGGTTAAACTAATTAGTATTTTGAAAGTACTTCTGTAAATTGAATGTTATTTAGTAAAAATTGTAAGTTTAATCTTTCAATGTTATTATTTAAACTAATTTAAAAAAAATACTTTGTTTAAAAGTACCAATTCATTAATAGTCTACCAATTTGTATAATAGTATGAAAATTTTAATCTCGAAAAAGTTTGAGTAATTAATCTTATTTGTTTACATCATGAAATGTAGTCTTAAATTATCAATATTTTAATCATAATAATTAATTTACATCATAAAAATTTCTTTTTAAAAGAAATACCAAACATGTGTTTATATTCTTATGGTTCTAATTTCATTAATCTTCTTGGCTATTCAAATTATGCAACAATTTTTGTATTTATTTGGAGATTTAGATTCTAAAAGCTTTAATAAGAAATTCTAGTGCGGAATCAAGATAATTCTCCTTGCATATGAAGATGAAATCCTCTGCATATAAGTATTAATTGTCAATTTTGCTGAAATTATATATTTTGTTTCATTTTGTTATTAAAAAGTGTGAGTATATTTCAAAAAGTAAGGAGATTAAACGCTTCCTTATGGTACTCTCTTTAAAAAAGCTAATTTTAATTTTACTTTTGATATTTTGCCAACTTATAATCTATGTAGGAAATTTAGTTCAACTTTGTCTGACTCGCAGTTATGAATGGAAAATATAAATATAACGACTTTATTATCTTTTATTGAATTTTTAAATGTTTGAAATCAGTTTTAATGCCTAAGATTAAGTTCTGAATAAATCAAAGTTCTTCTTTATAAATTTTCTAACAGTATTATTAGAGTTTATTAAAGAACCTAAATTACAGCCATTTCATTATGGGTTTTATACTATTATTGGTCTAAATTGATCTTTTTCAGGAATGCTTGGACAGGTTTGCTGAATGGAATCAACCGATTTTCCCCATTCTTTAAATTAACTCTACTACCACAAATCAGACATCTGATCGTTTGTACTATGCAATTTAATCCAAGTATCAGAAATTAGATAAAAAGTTAATCCTTTGTGTTGTGATATCTTTCTTTCATAAATTTGAAATCCTCAAGGCGACTTGTTTTAATTTCGATAATCATTTGTTTGGCCAACATTGTTTCATTATTTAGAAAACGCCAAGTTATTAAGCAATATGAAAGAATTTATTATTATTATTCATTATCAGCGATCATGTCATCTCCATCAAGATAACATTTTATTAGACCTCCATCTCATTTTCTGTCTTCGTGATTACTAGCTTATTAATAATGTGAAAGGGCTTCCTTGTTTGATTACTTCTAAGGTTAACTCTATTTCCTTCGATTCTTCATAGTGGTTTAATTGCTTCAATTTTTCTCTTGTTAAAATAAAAATTTGTAGAAATAAGTAACGAACTTTGATAGCATAGGATATTAAGAGAATGTATATAAAGTTTTATAGGATAGAATTGATATCGTTTTGGAGTGAGGTGTGACTGTCGGATTTCTATTTTGGAAGTTATTATTAGATAATTCTGCTAAGAAAATTTTGGGTTTATGCACAAGATTTTTTAATGTAGAGTTAGATTTGAGATTGGTTTATGCCACCACAGAAAATCAGGATGGCCTTTTGTTTACCCTCAATAAATTGATTAAGATATTCACTAATTATTTTTTTGATATTTAGAAAAATCGTTTTTTTATGCATTCGATAAGAATATTCTAGTTTAATCCAGTTATTTAGATCAGTCAGAATTCTAATTATTTGACTATTTGAGGAAATATATTTGAAAGTATTTCGTGAAGAATTGATTGTGAACTCCAGCTACTATTCCTCCTCTATTAGTATGATTTTCTTTTCTTAGTATATTGCTTAGTATTTCTTCTCTGGTTTCTTAAAAATATATTATATGTGCTTCTGTCAATTTGGCAGTTTTTATAGTATCATTTTTCATTGAAGTTTAAATTCAATGAGGAAGATTAAATAATTTGGAGTTTATGATATTATAGTTTAAGAGAATATGCTTTGGTTTTTTTTGAGTTTTTGTAATTATGGTCAGCAGCACACATATAAATTACATGTATCGATTACTCAAAAATTATTATTCTTTTTTTAATGAAAGGTGGAATAGCACTCATTGAACTCTTACTTTTAAAGAAGAATTTACATAAATTGCAATATATATTCAAGCCTACCTAGAAATCGTGTAATTTATTATTGTGAAATACATAATTACTTAACTCTTATCATTATTTGTAATTCATACTATAAAATGTAATATGATATTTACTCTATTATAAATAATATTTAGCACATCCTAAAAATGAAAGAATAATCTAATAATATTTTTGAATTCATAATAAGTTTACATCCTAATAAGAATCAATTATCT